AGGATTTTCTCCTGTGTCGTGGGTGCGTTTACAAACATACAAGTTCACATACACATGACACCCAGACCCGGAACAACAATCTGTGGATCACACAAAGAATTGTTCCGTGCGGGAATCGAACCCGCGACACGTTGCGCGGCAGCCAGTTGCCCAGCCAACGCGCCAACCGTGCAGTCTAATTACGTCTCCAACAGTTATAAGTACCTACTGTACCTAATATGTGACCTATGTAAGACTAGCTTGTACCAGCGGTTTCACTCGCGTTCCTGGGGTAAAAAGTAGCTCTTGTATTACTCCAGATCATAATCTACCTCCGTTTCAAACTTCATCCCGATCGAACAGTTTTGTATGATGTGACTGAGGTAGCATACCCACAAACACACTTTCGCATTCATAATGCGATTCAAGCTGATTTCGACCATCGGCCCTACAGTTTACAGCTTAAAGTGCACTACACTGGCAACCCAAAATTCAACAAACTTATCAGACAAACATATTTTTGGGTTCGCTATCTATCTAGTAACACCCCCACTATATTTTTTTTTTCAATATTTTAAATGTACAGAATTTACACTTCTAGGTAGTTTTATTATATGTATCATCATCATCATCATCAGCAGCAGCCTATAAATGCCCACTGCTGAGCAAAGCCTCTTCTCGCACGGAGAAGGTTTGAGCATTAATCACCACGCTTGCTCAATGCGGGTTGGCGATTCCAAACTTATAATTAAAAATTAGGTTTCCTCACGATGTTTTTCCTTCACCGTTTGTCAGTGGTGTCTAAATAATCTTAGAAAGTACATATAACTCGGAAAAAGGTAACATTGGTACTTGGTAGGTTTCGAACCCGCACCCTCATGCATGAGAAGCGGGCGTCTTAAACCTCCGGGCGACCACGACACTTATATGTATAGATAGATATATTTTTATTGATTCTGCTGGACTATGTGTGGGCATCGTATTATAAGGGTTTGCCATTATCACCACGGTCATAAAGCGGCTTGAAGATCACACAATTTCAACGTCTAACAGTTGGGTTTGAGATTGTATTTTAAAAGGTTCATGTATCCTCCAGAGCTCAGCTGTCCAGTCTGTCTAACGTGTAGTCCCTTTCCTGCGTTACTTGACATAATTAAGTGCAACGCATCTGTGACTCCTGTGGTGTTGCGGGTCTCCATGGGCGGCGCTGATCGCTTACCATTAAGTAATCTGGCTGCTCGTTTGCCTCATATTCCATAAAAAAATACTACGATACCCGGCGGAGACAGAAAAATCTAACATGTTTTTATACTAAACAGATGCTTTACCTACATAATTTTACAGGTAGGTTTATTTTGGTACACGTAAAGTGTGAAATGCTTCTTAAAATAAATTGGCAAGCTATTGTAGCGTTTCGACGATGCGACGTAGGTTTATAATTAGCTCTTATCTGATATTGACAGATCTTTCTTTTAAAACGAAGTAAGTAAAATGGCGTGGTTTCTGAATAACAAACAAGTGATTTGAAGTTTTAATTTGATTACTAATATATTCTAAATTATATTGTAAATTGTACGGCCTCGTTGGCCGAGTGGTCGCAAGTAAGGCAAGGGGTCTCTTTATCCCCGAAGGGGTTGGCAGAGGTGTACTTATGCCACCGTACAATGTAACACCCACTTTTCAGGTCTCAGGTTCGATACCCGGGTCGGCCTTTGGCCGATTACTGGGTTATTACTGGGTTTTTAAAAAAATCTCAGTAGTAGCACGGAGTCTGGAAATGTGCCCGGTATATGGCAATAGGCTCACCTCACCCCCTATTACATGGGACTCATAACATAAATAGTGAAAAGTGGGTGTTACTTCTGTGTGCACCTCTGCCTACCCCTCCGGAGATAAAAGGCGTGATGTTATGTATATTGTAAATCGAGGCAAAATGGAAAATGGATTTGAAATTATATTTTCAGTGGTACTTACGGCTTCATTTTCTGTTCTGCACCTCTTGATTACGATTATAGTTCCGTTTGGAAATAAAACAAGATATCGTTAATTATAGATTTGTTTTATTTTACTAGATAATGTATTATAATGATTTAGGATTAGGTTAATGTTAACGTTGTTGTGCCTATATACCTAAATAGGTATTTAATGCATCTACATATTATTATCTTACTTGTCTTTCTTTTTACTTTTAGATTTCTTCTTATGCTTAGATTTATGTTTTTTAGATTTTTTCTTTTTCTGTTTTTTATTCTTTACTTCTTTGATATCGACCCAGGAATCTTCGCTTGATGAGGAGTCTACATCTATAGTTTCTTTCAAATTATCTTTTTGGACTTCAGATTCTAGTCGTTTTTGTAAATTTTCTGGTATCTTCGGTCCATACATGGCTTCATCATCATTTTTCTCTTCAGGTTTATCAACCTTTTTGCTAACATCATTAATGCTCTCGTCCTTTTTAGTAGATGCTTCGGGAACTTTTTCCGGTTCTTTCCGCCTCCAAGAGTTGATTTCATCGAAATCTATATTCGCGAATATCCCTCGAGGAGGCGACATGTTCCTCTCAACGTTTTTGGGCACATCTATGAAGTCCGTTCCATCATTTTCTTTACTTTTTTCATTATCTTCTTCATCTTCAGTATCGCTTAGAAAAATGGACTTGTAAAGGTCCATTCTATCAAATTTTTGTATAGTATCTGTCACTTCAGCCCCTTCTTTTTTGGTATTTTCCGATTCTTTCAAGAAGAGCTCTGCTACAGTCATTCTTTTGGCGAAACCTAATGTAGTTTCTTTTGATATTGAAGCACTTGTAGTAGGTTTTACTATATTATCAGTACTTGGGACTGTGGGGTCATTATTTTGGGTACTAATTTGTGGTATTTCATTAGCTTTTTGATCATTCTTCGGTAGGATATTAGTTGTTAATGATTTGGAGCCACTGAACTTGCTCTGCTCTGCTGCGAAGCTATCTTTGTCGTGGACCGAAGACTCCAAGTACGAGAATACTGAGTAAGAGACTTTTGGTCGATCTTCTTTTTTCTCTTGTTGCCTGTAAGATATAAGGAATTATATAAGTATGATTAAAATTATTAATTTTAAATATGGAACTTGAAATTCAGTGCAGTTTGAAGTAAGCCCTAGTAGTGTTTAGGATAAGAAAGTCGATTACATAAGCCTTTGACTACCGTCAGAAAACTGCTGAAGGCAAATCCTCCGATAACGTAGGTCACCGGTCACCTACGCGTCGTTTAACATGATAAGCCAAAGTTTTAAAGCTGACCAAATTAGCCAGGTTTGAAACAAGTTTATATTACGTGTGATTATACGAGTCCTTAGCATGTTTTAAAACTAGTCGAGTTGAAATGAAATCATTACCTATAATTAGGTTACAAGATAATTTTGTGGACCTAACAATTTTCTTTTACATAAAACTTACTATTATTACCAATTTGAATTAAAATATTTAAAAAATAAGCTTTTATGGTTTACATGTACACGTTGTGCATACGTTTAGTTTATATGGTCATGTAAACTAAACGTGTATACAAAATTTCAGCTCAATCGATTGAAGATATCTGCTTCAACATTTAGTGACAAGATTTCGCTTGATACACAAACCTACATATTTTTTATGGAATAGGAGGCAAACGAGCAGACGGATCACCTGATGGTAAGCGATCAGCGCCGCCCATAGACACCCGCAACACCAGAGGAGTCACAGGTGCGTTGCCGGCCTTTTAAAAAGGAATACGCTCTTTTCTTTAAGGTTTGAAGGTCGTATCGGTTCGGAAATACCGCCGACGACAGATCATTCCACAGTTTTGCTGTGCGAGGCAGAAAGCTACGTGGGAAGTCCGCAGTTGTGGCCTGCCAACCATCTACATGCTGCATCTATATACTGTGGTGAGGGTCGATGGCGAAAAGATGGGGGCAGGTATCAGGTAAAACAATTCCTCAGACCACTCCCCGTGGTATAACCGATAGAAAATATATATATATATATATATATTGCAAATTATATAGACTTGTAAAAAGTATAAAAAACGTACCTAGCGCCACCAATTTCAGGGACATTAAACCGCTTACTAACAAGCGGGTCTGGTCTCCAAGTGGTGGTCTGTCGTGTCATAACTCCATACACGCCTTTCTGGGCAGCCTCGATCTGTTCCTTTGTGGCTAGACCATACGTACTGGAGCTTTTAGCGACGGCCGTCAATGGATTCACCGCATCGTCCGGCTCGGAGGCGTGGGTGAAGCTGGAATTCAGGAATTTATTTATTAATTTAAAAAGGATCTCCAACAGAGAATACACGTAACATGCACAGTGTTAAGGCAAAATACAAATATCTTGTGCTTCTCCAATTATAGGACATCACATCTTACAAACAAAACAAATCCTAATTTTGAATATAAAAAGTCGAAAATAGTTAAATCAAGAAACAAAACAAACGTTGTAAGTATGAGAGAGCCTTGCTTCGGCACGAATGGGCCGGCTCGACCGGAGTGATACCACGGCCGAGCAGAAAACCGACGTGAAGCAACGCTTGCGTTGTGTTTCGTCGTGTGAGTGAGGTTACCGGAGGCCCAATTACCCTCCCCTTCCCCAATCTTCCCAATCCCTGAATCCCCAACGATCCTCAAACTCCTAATCCCCAAAATGCTGGTACAAACTTGTAACGCTTCTGGTGCTCCAGGTGTCCATGGGCGACGCCGATTGCTTACCATCAGGTGAACCGTATGCTCGTTTACCGGTTTATGCCATAAAAAAATGTAAACAGAAAACAATGATAACGAAAAGACGATAAATTAACGTATAGGTACTTCAGCACCTATATATCAGTGAGCAATGTGTAAAGCGAGGATTTGTATTTCCCTAGTTTATTGGAGAAAATATCAATTTCCGTGGAGTTACAAACTACGATGTTATACAGGCTTTTTTTTTAGGGGTGAAAATCATCGAATGACTGCTCCCGCCTGGGTGAGGCGGGAGGAAGTGTCAGACTCTTACTGACTAAAAACCACCCCGTTCCTTCCCCTGCACGTCGAGCCGGAGCCCCGGTTACCGGTTAGGTTCTCCACGACGTGTTATACAGGCTTGACATCCTAACTAGTGGTGAATGTTTTTTCAAATTTGTTCGAAATCTTGGTGGTATAAGCAATGGACGAGGGTGGCGAAGTACCCTGGAAGGCACATTGATAGAAATTTTATTATATCTGAGCAGTCCATTCCATTTTAATTTTTTATTATGTAATTATTATTCCATGTTAATGTTAAGTCGTGTTTCAATGAAATAATTTACTAACTATCATCGGTTGAATAATAATTTTACTAACTATATAAGCCATGATGGCTCGGAGGTTTAAGACGACTGCTTTTTATGCATCATGAGGGTGGGTTCGAAACCTACCAACGGCAAGTACCAATGTGACTTTATTCGCGTTAAATCTACTTTATAGATTATTCAGACACCACTGACAAACGGTGAAGGAAAACATTGTGAGGAAACCTGGGCTTATATTTTCTAATTATAAGTTTGGAATCGCCAACCCGCATTGAGCAAGCGTGGTGATTAATGCTCAAACCTTCTCCGTGTGAGAAGAGGTCAGCAGAGTGTGCAGAGAGTTGTTGATGATGATGATAATGATATAAAAATATGAATCTTAACTTACCGATCACCCATAACGCCACTCAAAGGCTTATACAACTTGGCAGCCTGTTCAAACTCGACCAACTCCCTCTCTCTTTCCCACTCCTGTAATTTATCCATATCGCCATCTCTTTCTAACATTCCTTTGTTCTCTAAATATTTATCATATCGTTTCTGTTTTTCAGGATTTCCTATGAAGGGCTTGAATACTTTTGTGATTTCTTTTCCTGAGTCCTTTATAGGTATGTAGTCTAATTCGGTCTTTTCGACTGTGGAGACGAAGTTTATGGTCTTTCCAAGTACTGTAGATAGGTCTCTTTGGTCTATTTGGTCTTTTACGGGAGGTTCTGGTGGAGGTGGGGGTACCGGTGTTTCTCCTAGTAATTCACCTCTTGCTCTAGCTGATAATTCGTGGCGACCTAGACCTGTAATAAAAATATTGTACTTCTGTTAATATTTTAACAACTGGCTTCTGTCAGTGACCTTGACTGCGGTGTTGAGATAAAAAATAACCTGTTTAATTTAAGACTATAATTATTAATGTTATCTTTGTACCAAGTTTCACCTAAATTCGTTCAGCAGTTTTAGTATAAAACAGTAACACATACAACAACTTTCACGTTTGTTTATTTATCATTTATGTACACACATTCAGCACAGGGGACAATACATATATAAAAACAGAGTACATAGGCCCCACATATTCCAACTGGAATCTCTTCCTGTGGCCCTGTGGCAGGAAAAGAAATAACGACACCCAGACACATAGTGTGTTACACAAATGAGATAAAAATCAATTAAAAAAAAACAATAATACCGAAGAAAAACATAGAAATAACAATAATGAACAATAAAACGAATATAATACAATTATGAAAAATAACCAATAAATAAATATACCTACACATATATATAAATACATATAAACAAATAAATCTATATTTCAGGAGGAAAGACAAAGTTTATTATATTACTAACTGTTGCCCACGACTTCGTCCGCGTAGAATATGATTCCTGTTTTATCCCATAGGAGCATTTAATCGGGACAAAAAGTATGCTATCACCTAAGTCAGTCTGAACGGAATTTCATCAAAATCCGTTCATTAGTTTCAGCGTGATTAACGGACAAACATTCAAACAATGAAACTTTCACGTTTATAATACTATAGTGTGACTAGAATAAGATATCTTGCTAACCTTGATCTCTAGGTTGTTGTGTAGTGGGTTCGAACCTGGACCGCCTCGCTCCGGCCGCCGCCGGTATATAGTCGCGAGGTAGTGCGGGCGGCGGGTATGTAGGTACTGATGGTAATGGCTTTGTAGATTTCACGAACCCTTCTAAAACCTGGAAAATATAAAAACATAATTGATTAATTATGTATTACGTTTTCGGCTTACTCACGTAACTGTTTGACAAAGAACTCGACTAGTTTCAAGTTATGCTAGAGGCTCATATTCATGAGCACCAATCTAGGACACAACGCGGGGACTGTCGCGCTGCTACTGAATCTCTCACAAAAATTATAATATAAAAAACATAATTAATGTGACTTAAAGTCAAAGTCAAAATCATTTATTTCAATTAGACCAGGATGGCACTTTTGAACAATAAAAATTTAGAAGTGAAGCTAGTTGCTCATTCCAAGGTGTAGATTCCTATGGAGAAGAACGAGCAAGAAACTCCATAGGTTACTCTTTTTCAATCAGGTTTACAACTATTTCTGTTTTGCCTCGTTGGCCGAGTGGTCGCAATTAAGACTGCCGGGCAAGGGGTCTCGGGTTCGATTCCCGGATCGGCCGAAATATTACTGGGTTTAAAAAACTTCTCAGTTGTACCACGGAGTCTGGAATTGGGCCCGGTATATGGCAATAGGCTCACCCCCTATTACTTGGGACTCATAACATAAAATAGTGAAAAGTGGGTGTTACATAGTACAGTACCGTTAAGTGCCATAATGTGTACCTCTGCTTACCCCTTCGGGGGAGAAAGGCGTGATGTTATGTTATGTTATGTATAGTATTTCAATTTTGTACACAACCACTATTTTTTTCCTTGGGTGTCGTGAAGCACTCTTCATTCATACATAGTTAACAGATACCAGAGCTGCGTTCTTTGATCTGATCCTTTAACTCGTTGAGTACCGTCATTATAGACACAATTACAGATCAATAGGTTGCAGTCACCGGTGTCCTCGCGATGTTTGACAGTTTAAGACTGCTTTCTTCAACCTACTTGTTATGCGTTGAGATTTTGTTTCTCAAATAAGTACCAACTATCATACTATTTAAAAAAAAAATAATGCATAACACAATATGCAAATATAGCTATTTTGATTTGATTTTGACAATGTTTTTACTGATTTATTATAAGTATACATTGTTTTACTTACGTTGCGGTTCTTCTGAGCATCTTTACCCGTCGTATTCTTCTTGGTATGTACGGGGTCGTCTAAGGAGAAGTCATAATGCGACATATCTTCTCTAGCGTATATATCTTCATCGTCTGCCTCAAACGCGCCCACACCGAACGCTTGGCCGCGTATAGATACCTGAAAAATGAATAAAATGGTTGAAGTACAACCACTGCTAACAGCTTCCTTAGCATAGTGGTCACGTGCTACCGTGCAAAGCGATGATCAAGGGACACGCTCGTCTCTAGGGATGTGCTGTTTCAGGCTTTGCACCGTGGGGGCTCCGGAGCAGGTCTCTTCAGAGGACCCGGTGTCTCTTACAGGTGCTTTGGGTGGCCACCGGGGTGGTTTTATGTGAGGTAAGAATCCCACACTCCCTAGTCTTTCTCCCCAAAAAGCTAGGCGCCTTTAGAAGGTTTCCCCCCGAAGTCGAAAAAAAACGTTAAAAATAACCCCATGTTATTCTAGACTATAATGTAGCTAAGTGTGGGAGAGCCATGCTTCGGCACGAATGGGTCGGCTCGACCGGAGTGATACCACGGCATCACAGAAAACCGACGTGAAGCAACGCTTGCGTTGTGTTTCGTTGTGTGAGTCAGGTTACCGGAGGCTCAATTACCCCCCTTCCTAGTCCCCGTCTCCCGAATCCCCGAACCTCCACAATTCTCAAATTCCCAATTCCCAAAAGGCCGGTAATGCACTTCTAACGTCTTGGTGTTTCGAGTGTCCATGGGCGGCGCCGATTGCTTACCATCAGGTGATCCGTCAGCTCGTTTACCGGATAATGCTATAAAAAAAGTTCCCGTTATCGATGACAATAGCTCATTTATTCCTTACATGGATGAGACTCCTTATATGATGAATGTGATATGACGATGATGAATAATAGCTCATATATTTAATACGTTTGACGAAATACAAGTCTTCTTGTTAAAATGTGATGAGTCCCCAAAATTGATTATGAATTAATCAACCCAACCATTCTCAAGTTCCTTATCCCAAAATGGCCGGTAACGTATTTGCAACGGTGTTCCAGATGTTCGTGGGCGACGCCGATTGCTAACCATCAGGTGATCTGCTCATTTACCGACTTATACAATAAAAAATAGGTACAAATAAAAAAAATCTAAAAGAAAAGCCTACTGGTCGGATTTGGATGAAATTGGGTGGTTTCCAGGGTAGCAATGTTAAAAATCTAATTAGTCCGTCAGTTTGAGAATGAAAAAAAATTAGACACGTATTTTTTTATTTTCTCTTATTAAGTTGCAATACTTAGATAAAAATAAAATGGCGCTAAGTTTAGGAGTGGGAGGTCGTTACGTCATACCGTGGTACAAAATGTGGTACACTGTGACGTCACACGATATTTCAAATTAATATATCGTCGCAAGCACTTAATTTTGTAAGAAAGTAAAAAATACGGGTCTAAAGTTTTAAATTAATGTACCAGATGGACATAATTTAGGAAACTACACTATTTGGTCTATACCTACCAAATTTCGTAATTATTAAAAAAATAATCTCACCCGTTTCCCTTTATCTTTCATAACTAAATGGCTTTTAGAAGACCCTGGTTCACTTCCATATTCACCAACTAAGTTACCAAGCACTGAATGCCTGCTTAGACCAGAGTAACCGAGTCCAAAGCGATCGTTCTTACGCTGCAGGATATAAGGCTCGTAATCGTCAGGCGCGAAGAGCGTGTCGAAGTCCACTTCTGAATCTGAACTTTCGGAGTCATCCATGCTTTGGTCTTCTTGGGCCTGTAACAAACAATATCGAAATCAAAATTTGAAAAAAAAAAAAAATGTCATCATCATACCATCACGATCCGCGATGGGGCAGGCAGAGGCAGAGGTGGACATTCCGGCACTTATTGCCACTGTACAAAGTAACACCAACTTTTAATTATTTTATGTTATGAGTCCCATGTAATAGGGGGTGAGCCTATTTGTTAAAATTAAAAAAAAAATGTAATTTGAATTCGCGCCTTTAGAACTCACGCTTGGCTACTTGTAACTTTTTTCTATCTCCCGCCTTTTTCTAATGTCAAGGGGTCATCCATAAATTACGTCACACGAATTTCATGATTTTTTTACCCTCCCCCCGTCCTTGTCACAGCTAGTCACATTTGTGAGACCCCCCCCCCTAGTGTGACGTCACAATTTGCAGAATTACGTATGTAAAAAAGTATTGAATGAAAACAGCGGTCCCGAAATCAGGTTTATTTTCGTAAAAAAATATTAATACCAAATCAAACAAAATAAAAAACATTAATACAACTATACTTTAGAATGTTGGTGTGTATTCTTATTTAAATTCACTTGACTCCAGAATAGTTCGTGTGTTCAATGAAAGTCCAACATAAAATAGGTAAAACTTTGTGTTTATATTGTTCTAAGAAATACACAATTCACAACTAATCTATAATATTACAAAATATTACTGGTTAACACCAAAGTTGGGAGACGACTGGCGTGCTAACGCTATAGGGTCGCAGGCGCAGCTACGCACTTGAGAACACATAAAAAATGTCAACACGTTAGTGTCGCTACAATATTCCTCCCTTATTTTCAAAATTTTGCAAAAATTTCAGTAAGTACAATCAGTTTTAAAACTAAGTACAAACTAACAACGACAATCAAGTTAATAGAAAAGAAAAACATCAAAAATATAAAATATGACGAACTACATTGTAAAGTATACTTGAGTTAGAAGTACAAAAAATTCTGTAAAGTATTCCCAAAATTAAGTATTCCATAAATAACTTTTTCTAAACAAAACTATTTGACCCACTTGATTGACTCAAACAAAAAATAAAAGTTATTGGTACTTTCGTAACTTTAAATACTTATACCAATCCACAACAAAACTAATTCTAATCATGCACAAAAACAAAACAAAAAAACAGTATGTTTTTACAAACTTAAGTTTTTATGAGTTTTTTCAACAGATTTAAGTGTTAATGGATACAATATCAAATTGTTTACAAGAAATGTAATTTTAACAAAACTTAAAATTGTACAAGTGATCAGTTTGTGCAACTTTATTTTGTAAAAATTACCAAATCCTAAGTAACACAATTTATTACTTTAAAAAATATTTATTTATTTATTTATTTATTTATTTATATATGCT